CATGATTTGGGATGACTTCATGCAGTAGTTACACCTAGTTCTCAAAGCTGTCTTCTACCCTGCAAATCAGAGAATAAATGTGTGTGGTTAATGAGTGAACTAATCAGCTAGTGATTTAATACAAAGGTAAGTAAATGGCCAAGCCTGTGGTCAGACTGAAAAATCACCTCTACAGCTTCAAATGTACTTCTAAAACACATACTTGGTTTTCTTTAACCCTTATCTTAACAGGTAAGAGTTTACCCTTAGCTTAGTGCTTACCTGGACATACTTCAGTGATTCTCTGATTCTAATGCCATAGACATTGAGTAAAGAAATGCCTACTTTGAGTCTAGAGGCACGACATTAGCAAAGCTTGCGCATTCTAGCACCCGGATAAGAATTTAGCATAACATTCAGGTAGGAAAACAAATCTGCATATTTAATACTGAAGTGAAAGGGAATCTGTCAAAACTAGTATAAAGAAGCAGTGGATTCAATCAAATACATTTGCAATTCTTGGGACAGAAGAAGTAGCTTTAGACTTAATCAAACAGCAATCAATCAACTGCATTATTAGAAAACAGGATTTTTCAACTCTGGCTTAATTTCACAATAAGCTCCTGGTCTCCGCTTTGTGTTTGAGTGGGGGCGTGATCTGCTGCAGAACCTCTAAGCTTCTCTTCAATGAAGCGCCTGGTGGATCTACATGTGTACACATATAACCGCAGACGTGGTACACATATAACCACGTAGGCATGCAATAATAAAGAACTTCGGGACAGGTAAATATGTTATGATGTACTGATGACATGACTAGTCGTTTGAAAGAAACTACAGAACAGAGAAAGGCAACCAAAAGCTGCTATCAGAGGGTTTGTGTATCTGTTGCTGTATCCAGGGTAAATACTACCACAACCCTGTAAAACCTCTGGCTGTAACCACAGCACGCACCAAACGCAGGCTGGTAACTCAGTGCCCTCTTCCCACAGTGGTTCCTCCCCAGCAGGATAGAGGCACATACAAGAAAGAAGCTTGAATTGCTCCAGATCCTGTTGTAGCTACTTTGACCTCAAAGAGACCATGATAAGGCTTGATTCCAAACAGTGCTCAATTCCAATCAAACCACTTAAATAAAACAATCTTATGTACAAATTCAGGAAGAAAAAGAATTCAAGTGTGAGGTATTGCTGAAGCAAAGATTGGCTTCCAGTCAGAAATCCACTCATCAGAATTCAGGGCATCCCTCACTTTGAGCAGCTGAAGTAGCAGGAAAGAATTTAAATGACACATATATAGTATTGGGGGCTGGGGGGGCCTTTTTTTTTTTTTTTTTTTGACTGGCCATAATTTTTTACATTATGTGCCCATGTGTTGTGAACGTCCTCGTGATGGTATTATTAAAACCTGAATTTGACCCTTTTTACCAGCTTTTCGGTATGCACCCGTCTCAGGTATACCTAAACTTACTTACGCGGGACCGTTCACTAGCAGCTAGTAACAAGAAATAATCCTGTTAGCACCTGCAAGTACCAGTTGCAGATGACAAGAAATACCAGCACTTCACCAACACCTCTCTGAGGTCAATGACCAGCTGAAGGAGAATTATTGCTGATTTCTTCCAGTAAGAGAGAAGAACTGAATATGAAGCATTCAGACAGGTCAAGTTGGAATTTACTTTTTTTAATTTTGTTTTTAAATTTATACCACCATGAGACTTCAATTTCAATGAGCACCAAAGCTCTACCTTAAGAGGAGCAGTAGCTTGTTGGCAGGTACATATTTCCGATGGCAGAATATGTTCCTCAAACCATTATGTCTTATCACAACACTCACTTAAAATTTTACATTGAACCGTATCATGGGGCCCTTTTAAAATGCCTTCATTAATGACGATTATGTAAGTACCATTAGATGTGAGACATTCCCATATTGCTCATAGGAGTTATGATTTAATTCTATTACAATCTCCTCCACCATTTGTGTAATCACTCCTGACAGTTTACCTTTTGTTCTGTAAAACATTACTGTCTGCCACAGAAAAAACCCAAACGATACTTTGTTTGTCATTGCAATCTGATTGGAAAGGTGTTATTAATTAAACATTGTACACAGTTATACTTGAGAATTCTCTGATCGCTCTTGGGAGAAGATGTATTACTGGAAGACGGTTGTTATTTAGGTCTCTGAGGCAACAGAGAGACACTAATAAACCTCCCACACGTTCCTGTGAACTGGCAGATATTATTCAGCCTTTGTGGGGAATAGTTTGGATTTTCTTTGGCCTGTAACAGTGACTAGTGTGGCTCAGTGTGGTGAATGACTTTAGGAGCCACTATAAAGGAAGACCTGCGCTTGATCTCAGTAGGCGAGTTTGCAAATACACAGGGAGCGGAACTGCGAAGTCGCTTCCCTCACAAGACGCAAGACAATGTTCTGGTTTAATACCTAGGCTGAGCTTTTTGCCAAAAGGAGGAGGCAAAGACATTTTACCAGAGCTGGAATTTTCATTTTCTGTTTCTCATTTATTTTTTGTCATCTGAAGTGTTACACGCAGAGAAAATATTCCTTTTCAGGATAAATAAGTAGAAACAGCTACAAAATTCCAACTGCCTATAGTAAGAGTTTTGACCAAGTCCCTTAACTAGCAGTAAGTATCCTTTTACAGAAGATATACTGGTAGTCCTCCTCACATTACTACTGTTGTTATATTCTGAGCAGAGAGAAGGTCCCTCTCACAAAGAAAGAGGAGACCTTTCAGAAATTTTTACAATAAACTTGATGATTATTTTTTTTCCCCAGCACTTTCACTGTCGTGCCCATCGGTTTATAGGGAATTTCATCAAGAAAGAGGTTTTGAAAGCTCTTACCTTGGTCACAGAGGAACATAGTGAATTAAATTTCCCTCCTCAGTGTGCTCTTTGAGCTGGGGCTGTGGCTTCTCAGTACTCTGAAGGTAAATGGGGTGTGACTAGTGATCAAATTGCTTCATGAGGAAAAGTTCATCACAGTCAGGGAAACTGCTTAAAATGCAACATAAACAGGTCTGTGTCAATATTTTGACTTTGTGTAAACAATTCAAGCTGGATCACTCTGGAGATAATGACACATAATGCTGTATAAAATGCTCTGAAAGGGTTTTACTGAATTAATCTGCATTTGAGTTCTGGAAGAAAATTGGTCTGTGCAGTGGAAAAATGGGAACTTCTGTGCTCCTGTTGCATATGATCCCAACAAGGTCTGGAGCTTCCAGAAAGTATATTCTGGGAAAGGGCTTCACTACTGCAAGGTAAATGGGAAAAGAATGATTTTTGGACCCTGTACTGTCTTTAATCCCATCCACAGAGCTTCAGAAATTGGTGTGTATGACAGAGAGGAATCTACGTTTTTGTCCGAGTAAGTATAAATGAAGCATTTCTTACAA